CTTCCAGCGAGGCACCGTTATTCAATGCCAACCACGTGTGAATCTCATCAGTAGCTGCGGATACACCTATATTTTTAAATAAGAATCATATAATATGCGCAAATATATGAAACAATGACACGAATTAAAAGATATAAGAATATATATATATTTTATATATATTTATATTGAATTTCATATATGTAATATGTTATAATTTCATATGAGAAAGCGCGTGAAAATATTTAAATCATACCTAGTAATTCATGTAGAGTTATACGTCGACTGGCCAGCAACTCCTTACTGGCGCTCCTGATCTCGAATATTAGTAACGACTGCCTCGGTACACCATCACCGTCTATATGGAAATCTATGCTAAACTGAGGATTAGGCATAGCTGGCAGGAGTCGCGATTTCGCGATAGTCTTACCGCCGTTAGGTGAGACAATCTTATCTGGACTGGTGCATCTAGAAATTCTTAATTTAATTATCTGTCGTCAATTAATGTCACCGCCGTCAATCATATTAACTATACTTACGTTTGAAGTTTTACTCGGCAGTATAATTGGGCAATGTGCGCTACGTGGAGACCTTGCGCCTGAAGAACCTTCCCTTCCACTCCGGAATACTTCTCTCTAGTGCCGTTGACAATTTTTAAATCTGAAAATCCAATGTTCTATTTTATTTTCAGCATTAAATTGTGAAGCTCTAATCACTTTTCGTTCTAAGAGAATAGAAGTCTGTTTATTTAAAATAAAAAAAACTAACATATTTATTTTTTATTTTGTTTTTTTTTTCAATTTTACTATTTTAAATGGCAACAACAATAAGAGTAACAAGTGTATTTAAAAGCGTCTTAAGTACAGCCTTAAGATATCATAAGTCAATTACAATCTATTAGCATTTTAAGATATTACTTAAGATGGTTTTGAAATAAAAACTGCGACTATAAATGTCAAAAGATCTGGAATGAAAATATCTGCATGACTATATGTTAACATATCATGTATAATGATAATATCGGCTACACACTAACCGTTCGGCCTCAATCTTAACCGCGGACTGGGCTGCCTTATTCTGCCTAACATGTCAGGTTGCGACACCGCGTGAGCAAGACCGGATTCCGACAAAAGCTCCGTGGCGTCAGCCTCTCCGCCACCTCTGGGTTCCAGACTCAGCGTGATACCCTTATTATCGTTTTTATCCTCTATAGTTACTTCCGAACGAAATCTACGAAGTTTTAAACCCCTCTTCACCTACAATTACGAAATATCTTAAACTGACGTTTCGATCATGAATAATTTGACGTGTTTACCTTCTGCTTCATCATGCGGAAACTGTTGTACTGTGGTAACTTCTTGCCAAAGTTCTGTTCAGGGCTGGGTGTCAAGCTATGATTGGAAGATCGCCTCTCTGCGATCACTTTGGTGGTGTCGGCCTCATCGACGGAATTACCCGCGACTGATTCTGTAATGACTTTCGGAATCCAAAAGCTTGATGTTCCGTTCATTTCGTTGGACTCTTTGCTGGTGATGCTAACTTTATCTATACGAAAAAATGTACCAAACTTCTGTAACCATATCGAACGACATGCTATTTATAAAAGTTTATATTTCCAAAGATGTTAAACATGATTAATATAAATAAAATAAATTAATATAAATATATGCTTGTGAATATGATATGAGTTTTTAAACATGACATTACCGGACTGGTTGGATGTGGTTGGCTTCAGGAGAGTGACAGTGCGTGGTGGAGGCGGTGGAGGTACAACCGGATCCAAATGTAGACGTATCTTAGATCTTTCCATAGAAGGCCTTCGCACAATACTCGACAAGGAATCAGGTTCGGTGTTCAAACGAGAAGAATTGTCGCTGACATTGCTGGTTGCATATGTGCTTTGTGTCTAGAGCAAATAATTTCAAGCGGGGATTTATAATGAAAAAATACTCGAAAAATTACAAGATGACGCTCACTGAACACAAAGTAACAGTAACATCATAACAATGTTATAATTTCCTACTCAATAATGTAACTGTTATGTACAACATGTCATATTACATTTATATTGTTATTAAGTAGAAAATTATAATATATATTAATGTAATATTGCTGTTCGTGTTTAGCGAGTGCTGAAATTATTGTTGCGCGAACATTACCTCGCTTCTTCCGATAAGATCTTA